ACTACATTCCTGGAACTACCCAGAACGAAAGCCCCTCTAGTGTAGTCAATAGCTATGTTCGGATGTATGTGATCCATTATTTTATGTTGTTTCTATCTCCAAGAAGCTCCAAATTATGTAGTAAAATTTAATTTTAAATATTCTCAAATGCATTAAATGCACTCCTATCAAATGACATCACTAATATAACTTTCTTTACTTGTTTTGCACCTTGTTTTAAAACAATGGAGGGAGAATGAAAGCTTACTAAGATGTCAGTTATGCCATGCTGGGTGTGATGATGAAAGTATATTAGTTTACCATTATTTCCTGTTTGAGCTAAAGGTGCTGGACTGTAAAACGGTCCTCATATGAATTCCTTCCTCGTCCCCTAGGCCATCAATGTGCAACGTGACCTGACCCGTCCCTACACTTGTTTAACCATCCATGTCTAAGCACCTGCAGCAGGGCCAGTCAGTGGAGACAGGATGACAGTGGCCCCCTGGGTTTGAGGGTCTCACAATAACCAGTGAGTTGATTGAGTTCACAACCCTGACCTCTCCACTACTCTTCTCTCTTCCTCTCTTCTCCTGTGCTGACTTCACTGCAAACTCATGATAAAGTGTAATGGCCTTCTCCCATGACCGCTGGCCGTTTAATTGATTTTTTTTGCACACAGGCACAGGAGATCTGAATTATCTGAGAGATTTACCAGGATAACAGGACTGAATGGACAGTCTGTCTGTGAGGGATTTGTTTGTTGTATTGAAGGGCTGTGGCTTTCATTTGCATTTAATAAAATCTTTTGAATAGTATTATGGAACTGGTGAATAGTAAGTGGTAAATATGTTTACACATACACATTTGAAAACTCACCAAGGCTGCATTTGCTTGTTTGAAAATACTGCACAAACAATTAAATTGTGAAATATATTTAACAGTTATTTTATATTATAACAGTTTAAAATGTAATATTCCTGTAAGGGATTTTTTCTTCTTTTTTTTAGAAGCCATTACTCCAGTTTTCAGAATCATGATCCTTCAGAAATAAGCCTAATATGCTGAATTCTGAACATTTTAAAACTGGAATACACAACTTTTCCCCTGACTTTAAGTCTGGACAAGTTGATTATTTGACTAGTCAAGACTAGTTATCGAAAGTCAGAGCCAATCTTCAGATTTGAGTTGACAAATTTCACAGAAAATCGTGTAGTTTACATCTAGCCTGAGGATATCAAACATGTTTTATATATTGAGCCGATTTTAGAAACCATATTGTTTGCAGTTGCAGTTTTGCATCGATGTCAATGTGCTGGCAATGGTTCTGACAAAGGTTTCTCTACGCTCAGGATACTAAGGTTTGATTCTCTTATGTCTAATATCAGCTTTGTCTTCAGACATTTCCAATTTTATTTTAGGAGAAAAAAAAAAATATTTTAGATACTGTTATACATTTCTGAATATTACAGGTTTTTAAATTATCTTCAGTGGCCAGCATTTTATATGTTGCCAAACACAGTAGAAAGGGATCAGATAAGTGTAAGATGTTTAGGAAGAGACAAATACTTTCTTTTTATCAAATGTAACACTTAGTGCTTCATTGTTGTTGCGTAACCTTTTATTCTGTCTTTTATTCTTACATTTTGCATGCATGTAAATATAGGTCATGATTTTCTCAATTAAATCATTGTACAAGAAAACACTGTCTACTCTAAACGACTTCAAATATGACAATGTATGTATTGTTTGATTGAAATGGTGTGGGTGATTGAGATTGAAGCTACCCAGAAGGGGGGAACAAATGCTTTCAAATCTCAAATGTTTCTGCTAGACATAGATGAGGTTACTTTAACATCAAATGGATACTTTTGCTTGAGACTCTCCTGCTTCTCACACTTGTTTCCTGAGTCAAAAAAAGAAAAGAAAATGCTAACACTCTCACAATAGTATCCTTTAGAAGAGTTTTAGAAGAGACCTCAACAAAAGCACACACTGTGCTTAGATCTTTCTCCTAAACTAAAAACTCCGTGGTCTTGTATTTTCTCAGCATCACAGACTAGGCTTAGCTTGAAAATCCGGAACTTTTACATATGTCTCTTTTGAGAAATTTAGAAGAGACCTCAACAACTTTATAAAGTGTGCACCAAGTCAAGTACCTTCTGTAAAATACACTAAAGTCAAAGACAATCCTTAAATTCAGAGTTGAAGCCTATATTTAGAGGAAAGATGTGCAGAAATATGGTCTACTCTTAACTGCTGACCCACAATAAGAGAATAGTGCTGTACTGGGCACATCATTTATTCTCACCCTTACGAAAAAGAAGTTTATTCAAGTGTGCCATTAGTATACTTCTTTTAAACTAAAAATAAGAAAGTACACTTTCAGTTTATTTTTCCTGTACTTCTCAGAAATATACATCAAATTACACTTAAGTGTACTTTAATTAGAGAAAAGCAAGTATATTTGTCCTGTTCTTGTACTCAATCTTTTGATCCAGAAATACTTAAAAGTATAATTAAGTATTCAGAGTATACTTGTATAAGTATTACAGTAAAAAAGTAAACTACTAGTATACCCATAAATTCACTTGCAGTACACATGAGATACATAATTATGAACTAGTTGTGCACTTACTGTTACACTTATAGTACACTTAAACATATACTTTTATGTACTAAAAGTGGGCCAATTAAGTCCCAAGCGGTATTAAAATAGTACACTTACAAGTTTACTATAGTACATAGTGACATTAGTATACTTACTACATAGTTTATACTTAAAATATACTTGAATATTACTTAAATATACTACATAAAATGAACTTGAAATGTACTTCTTTTTCGTAAGGGCAGAAATAGCATGTACCCTATCAAATCTGACTTATAGAAGTCTTACTACATGAACAGTTACCCTGGACCTTTCTTAATGGTTTTAAAGGCACATTAAATGGTTTATGACTCAATCCTTGACTAATTTGATTATTATTATTATTATTATTATTATTATTATATTGTAGAATTATTTGAGTTCATAGTGAAATATTTGATTTGTAAATTTGTTGAGATCTCTTCTAAACTTTAGAGGAGACAAATATGAGAGCTCTCTAGCTAACGAGTAAAAGTAACCCCTTTTTTGTCTAGGGCAAACATTTGAGATGCTAAAGAGATCTATTTTTTTATTTTTCTTTCCTCTGGGCTGTTCTTTTTTTTTTTTTTTAAATTGAAAGTTCTGTCCATAGTGACTTTACACTTAATGCAGTAACAATCCCCTTAGAGAATAACCCATTTGAGGAGAGGGCTTCAATCCTGCTCCTGGAGGGCCACTGTCCTGCAGAGTTTAGTTCCAACCCTAATCAAACACACCTGAATCAGCTTATCAGCTCTTTGGGATCATACAAAGGCATGTGTGGTTGGAACTAAACGCTGTTGGACAGTGGCCCTCCATGAGCATGATTGAATACTTCTGCATTAGAGCAACAATGGCTTATTTTTTGCTGATTGCAGAGATTTAACCAATATTCTTCCAGGTACAAGCCCTTAACTTTGCCTACTATCTGCTCCAATAGAGGAGTTAATCATTAACAATATCCACTTTCATCCTCATATCAGTCATTCCATTATGTAATGCATCATGTGTTTGCATTAAAAAATGGCAAAGAGTAAATGAGACATGATGGGACCAGCACAAGACTGGAATGAAGCAACCAAGAGAAGACAACCAAGTTGTCCCTTTTAATTATTAACATTATTATTATTTTTATTTATTTTTAAAAAGTCCAATCTAGCAGAACATTCCTTTCAACCAAACCCCCAAAAGAAACTTGCCATTGGAGAGCTTGTTGAAAATAAAATCTTCAAGGCATGAATAATCCAAGAAGGAGTCAACAGAAATTTGAACCTGTCACTCTCCATTGAGAGTTTTATGGGAAGAAATGTTCCAAGACCGATCCCTATATGCTATCTCCTGACCACTAAAGTGTGACTGAAATCGCAAGAATGAATCGATCAAGTTTTTCCTTGAGGTACAATTGAAGTTTGGGAAAGCCATTTTGGACACAATGGTGGGCACTTAAAAGCCCTGGGAAATAAGACGGAGTTCAGAGTTGGCGGAGGGGGGTAAAGCATAGCATTGGAAGTCAATATATGACAGTGGGTTGGAAAGAAGAGAAGATGGAAGGAGGGCATGGGGTGTTAATAGAATGAAAGAATCAGCAGGGTAAGCTAGCCAGTCCAGCATGCAGTGTTGACAGGTAATCATTGAATGTCAACCATGTGGAGGGAACAGAAGCAGCAGAACTCTCTCTTTACTGTTTTTAGTGTCTCTGATGGTGGATTACAGCTGATAAAGTGCCACAGTAATCCCAGAGTGATGACTGAAACTTGTGAAATGAGATAAAGCTTTGGGATACTTTCAGCTAAAACCCATTCTTGTCTTACTGCTTTGTTGGTCAAACTAGTTATTAAGACACATTATTAACATAGTAGCTAAGTTTATTCAACTCGCCACAGATGTCCGTATCCAGGGCAATATTAAATCACTGTTTTCTGGTAAACTTATCTAAACATCCTTAAAATAAGATAAACGAACTTGGAAGTAAAAAATGTGTATATAAGACTTGTTTTCAGAGAATATTCACTGCCATTTAAAAGTTTGGGGTCATTTTTTCTAATTTATTTTTGAGAGAAGTCTCTTTTGCTCACCAAGGTTGCACTTGTTTGACCAAACACTGCATTGGTAACACTAAACTCTTTTAGAAATTGTGTGTCAGGTCTCCAGTGCCGAGCACCATTTCTGTGCCGTCTGTAAGTCGTTTTAACTGATTCCAGATTGATCATTTATTGGGATTGGGATGAAACTTTGAGGCAGTTGTCTACTTTATAAAACAAAACTAAGCCAAATTCCTCTGACCACACCAGGTCTCCACTTCAAATTATGTGTTATTATCTGAGGGCATGTTTTCAAATATTTCTGCTTTGTCAGTCCAACCTAAAACTCTCCTATTCTCTCGCCCCTTTTTCAGCCCTGCTGGCTTCGGGACACTTCCTGGGAGGAATTTCCGGCAGTGGATACTTCATCCAGCTATCGCCAAAAGGGTTATCTGTTCTCACGGTCGGTGATGGTGTGACAGACACATCTTTCACGCTCTGATCTTCCCGAGGGGGAGCCACTGAGGATTAGCTGGCAGATGATGCATCAGGGGGAGGAGGAAAGGCCGAGTTTATCTGCTGTCCCTGTGTCACAGAGAGCATCTGAGGAGCATTCAGCTGCCAGCGGCATTAGTGGGCCTCAGCCATCCAGCTGTTCACCTCACTGCCACAGCTAAAGTGATGAGTCCCAGTCTTTCCTTTCAGGTAGAAACCGCCGTGTCCTCGGTCTAATTGCCCGGTAGCCGAATTCCCCAGTCTGGGCTCAACTGTCTTCGAGTCTGTAATGGGTGGAAGTACAGTGTTGTGTGAGAGGTCTCTACCAAGCTGTTTTTTTTTTTTTCCTTTCCTTTTGAAACTAGAATTAATGAAGAGAAATAGCTGCCATTTTTGGGTCCCTGCTCACTGCATGTCACTTAGATAGGAGATATCTATTTATTCAATTATAAGACTGGTCTGACAATGTGGCTCAGCTAAGGTTTCTCATTGTGTAAACTATCAGTGTGTAAACTATTCTCATTGTGTAAACTATCAGTGGTTTAAAGCATTTTACAACTGAGTATTTTACCAAAATAATATAACTTCACCCTTGTACAGTAGTGCACTCCAGGGGTTTGGCAGGTTAGCGTGGCGACTGCATGTGGTTTTTGTGATGCAATTAGCCAATCAGAATCATGGTGTCATTTTAGTATTGGGTCATATTATACTGGACTGCTTTTAAGACGGTGATTTAATTCAGAAATGTCATTGATAGATGCTTTTAATAAGGTTTCACTTGGGAATTCTATCATATATTCATTTATATGTAGGTACACTTATAAGTTGTATTTTAAGTATAAGTGCCTGCTAGTACATTTAAGTTGGATTTTAAGTATAAGTGCCTAGGTTATGTTATGTTATTATAGGAGTCTTTATTGTCCCATGGAGATAATCATTTTCACACATCTTTTTTTTCATAGCACAGAAATATCACATAATATGTAACACATATGAAAATACACATACAACGCACAGCTTGAAAGGAGACCGAGATAAAAAAAAAAAAAAAAAAAAAAAAAAAAACTACAAAGCAACTAAAGTGGGGGGTGACAGTATTACAGTTTGTTCAGTGCTGTGATTTGCGAACAAACTGTAATACTGTTGCCAAAAATGTGGCATCACTCAAATATATATATATAGTCAGTCATGATTAAGTTATTATGTGTATGAAAGTGTCCAATAATGTCGGTTAATGAGATAAAATGTGTTGCTTTCAATTGGTCATGTGATCCCAACATGGCTTTCCCCATTAGGTGACCCACTCCATGTAAAATACAGCAACTTTTATTGGGCTTCTGATAGGGCTTCGTGATTTTTCAGATTTTTTTTTTTTTATATTAATTTGAATATAATATTTTGCCATAATTGTATTATTTTTAAAGCGAGAAATCACGGTTTTGAATAAAAAAAAGTTAGCAAACTTTACAACCCTATCCAGAGGTTGCATCCTTCAAAGTACGCGGACTTCAAATGCCATGTGTTCAAAGGTCCCATAAATGAGTCCCATTAGCTACGTCTGAGTCCGTTTACGCTTTTTTGGCTAAAGCTTGCAGGCTTGCAATGCTTCCAGTGGCTTTGGAACACATCTGTAGTTGCGGCTTGAATGAATAATGATATTGCGCTGGAAAAACAAAACAACAAACAAAAAAATAAATAAATAAATAAACAAGATGTGGGCGGTGGAATGGGAAAAAGGCAAGGTTAATTAGCTGTGAGTTTAACTCGAGTGCCGTGTTTTTAGAATGCTGTTTCATGCGCAAGAAGCTGCAAAAAAAAAAAAAAAAAAAAAAAAAAAAAAAAAAAAAAACGTCAGACATGTCTAGAGCATGTTTATATAGAAAACAATGAAGAAACAACTCAGTGTAATGCAAAAAACTGTCAAGAACTCGTTCAAGTTCAAGTGTTTTTTTTTTTATTGTCGTTCAATCATATACAGTTAGTGAGGTATACTACGAAATGAGACAGGAGCATGGTACTTCATAAAAACAACATAGGACAATCACAAAAAAACACATGAGACTACACAGTCTCCATAAGTGCACGTGCAAACGTGTGCAATAGTAGGCCTACAGGACAGTACAATACAATTCTGAAATAAATTATTCAGAAACCAGGCAATAGACACAGTAAAACTACTACTTTATGTTTAATATCTCATGTTTGCAGGATTGTGAAAGTGTGAAAGATGCTGTTTACTGTTTTTTTACTTTCGCTGTTAATAATAGAGAATGTGAAGCTGACATCATGACGCGTTGAGTTGTGGGTAACTGTCTTATATAGGCGCCATATTAGGAGGATCCCGCTACCTATCTGCTTGTGAATTTAAGGCAGTGTTTTGTTTTTCTGATGTGATTGCGAAAAATGTTTCCATTGAAGGTCATTCGTGCTGCATCGAGAATTGCCATAGTAACTCGCGATATGGGAGAAAACTGAGCAATATAGCTAAAGTACTGTTCCTTTCTTTTGAGAAGTAAAACTTTTTAATGAGGGAAAAGAAACTGAATTCAACTTTAAAATATTAGTGTCAAGGCAACTTTTTATTTCTCTCTTTTTTATGATGCCAGCTCGCTAATAAATTGCAGGTAGTGGCTTATTATCAAGTTGAGTGCTTTCATGGTTTTATGGACAAATAAGGAAGAAGAAATGACAGGTGGCGTTCAAAGGTTTGCTCGGCTTGTCGAACACAAGCCAATTGGACGCATTACTGTATGGAAATTGAAGCAAGGGGAAGGCGTCTGTGATACAGTAAACAGGATTAGGAGCTTTTGTTTCCTTTGCTGTCAGAGCCAGTTGTGTCCTGCAGAGAAAGATCTAATGGAACGAGCCTGGCTGAGACTGCAATAGACCTGTTACAGACGGTGTCTACCGTGGGAGTTGTAATCAAACGTTAATTACCGGGCCCACCTGTTTACAGACGGATCAGCTCAGATACCCTGTCCCACGTGAAGATTTTGGGAGGATCAGTATTCCACATTTCAAAAAGATAATGCTGTTTTTTTAGGCACATTGGTTCAAACATCTAATTTTGCTTTTGAGTTGGGCGTAGGAATCTTTCCTTTTGAGTATTTTTAATGTACTTTTGGAAAGGGGAGAAAAATACCACTCAAGTTTGGGTGGACATGGTTTCTCATACTTTTTAAAGCATGCACATATTCCTGTGTGGGTCAATGACACTTATTTTTTTTTTGTCCACATCTATTCATTTATTCAAAACTACATTAAAAATGCAATTAATACTTTAAGTGATTTTAATGCAGAACCTGATTTCACCAAGTGCAACATGTTCATGGATCATTTCAATCAACCAATCAGATTTGAGGTACAAGTTTACAGTTAATGCTTACAACCAGGATTAGAAGTTTCTAAATCAGTGTTATTCAGCTACCATTTTCTTCTGATTTCAGGGTTAACATGGGTGGGGTTAAGTTTAGGGGTATGGATTGGGTTAGGATTACGTTTTTGTCACGATCAACTAAATGTGTTTAATCCTACAAAATCAGGACGTGGGATTTAAATACACATTTTCAAGGATTTCTTTTCTAAATTAAGGGCCAGATTTGCTTAACAGGGCAAATTAGCTTACACAATACCAAAAAAGTGCAGATGGGAGTGGGAAGTTCTGCGTGTGATCTACTGACAATGTGCAAATTAAAGAACGCAGCCGGATCATTTCCATAATGACCAACGCAATCTACCAAGAGCAGATTAGCATCTTTATGCTTTTTTGAGGCTTTAAATAATGGCAAACACAGCAGTGAATTGACTAGTGGAAAAATTAGTAAATCACCTTATATGAATCGTTCAAATACTCTCCTCCCATAAATTTAGAGTCTGAAAGGGAAACTCACAAATGCATATGCAACAATATCAGAACGTTATGCAAAAATAACCCTGTCCATATCTTCAGCGCTAATTTTTCACTGCATGTCGTTAGTAAATCCTGATAGTAGTTTTTTAACGAAAAAATAGGGTTTGCACTGATGGAAGTTGTTAGTAGATCTGGTCCTAAAAGCATAAAGCCAAAAATTTGATTGTAAAACAACTGTCCTGATATTACAATAATGATACATGAGTTATTTTGATGGTCTCTTTAGAACACGTTGTTGACTGTAAGTAACTTTGTAACTACATGTCAACTAGCTCTCATTAGAGTATTAGTAGACTGCTATATCTGCTAACACTTATTCTGATGTTTCCCCAGCAGACATTCTACTCACTGTAAGTAACTTTGCAAGTACAGGTACATGTCAACTTACAGTATTCTAACCCTAACCCTACCAGTCTACTAATACACTGATATCACTCTAATGAGAGTTACATCGGTGGAAAGTTGCTAGAATGTGTTAAAAGGGACCATCAACATAAAGTGAAACCGATGTGTATAGAATATAATAATAATGATATAAGAAATTAAAAAAAAATGAGGATAACTTTAAAATCCTCATTATTATTATTTTTTCTAAAAATGTTAAATATGAAAAAAAAAAAGGAAATGTGTGTCAAACTAACATAGTCTCATCCCAAGACGTCATACAACTGACGCCTTTGACCGTACGGCAACATCCGCCGTTTTAGGGTACCCTTAAACGTCGGTTAGATGACGATCCTGGGGCGTCATCCAACTGACGCTTTAACGTCAGTTAGGTGACGGGGTAGGTTTAGGTCTGGGGTAGGGTTAGGATTAGATAACGTCATGGTCAAACACAAAAACTATAGCACATGTAGATGTAACACCAGATCACATGGCAAGAATGGTGAAAAGCCTTCTGTTTGATGTGAAATTCACTGCCTCAGCTAATACTAATAAATTAATTCCCATGTGCTTCTTTGAAGATATATTTCAGCACATGACTTTTCAGACAAATCTGATATATAACCCACACAAACTAGAAAGACTTTCAGCCTGCTGACAAAGCCACTGCATGGTGGTAATAACAAGGAGACACCTGCATGACCTCCAAGCCTTTGGAATTTGAACCAGTGCATATTTAAATTGGATGGTTTGTTACCCATTAATGGCAGTATGAATGGAAATCTGAATGAGAGTCCATGCCTCTACCTGAAAGAGTTAAGGTATGTGCTCCTTGAGAAAATCTTGACTGAAGTGTTATGAATCCTGAAGCGCAGAAGCTTTCTCAGGTTCTCAAGACTGCACCCTGTGTTCCAGTCTGAGCCTACAAGCTTTGTTTGACCTAGTTATTCTAAAAAGCAGCGAGGACTTTGACGCATTTGATATCCAGGATGGCTGTGTCTCTTATGGTGGGTGATGGGCACATGCAGGAACGCGTGTCAGTATTCACATCCTCCCTACGGCTGACAGGTCACAGAGAAAAGGCCAAGTCCATCACACTGAGGTTTTTTACTCTCAGTCTGTGAATGTTTGCTAGGCTGTTTTGTAAATCTTCACTTTACATATTGACGTTTTATGTTATTTGTGTTTGTTTCTTCCAGCACGCACGATTATGGTGTACATTCCTATACCATTTATGTGCTTGTTTGTGTGCTCGCAAAACTGTGTCTGTCTGTCTACAGTTTGTGTGTCTGTATGTCTATAGAGTAGTATAGAGGATACAGTAATAGCCAAGCTTAAGGGAGTTGTATTTGCATGTGTTATTTAATTCATATCTCTGAGTAAAATCTGAATCAAAATACTTTTGCAAAACATACACTAGCTACTTTATTTAAAAAAAAAAATAGGACAAAAAGTGACTTTATAATGTTACAGAAGCTTTCTTTGCTATTTGCTAAATTTGCTATTTCAAATAAATGCTTTTCTTTTGAACTTTCTAATATTTTTTTTTTTAATAGAATGATTTCTGATGGACCATGTGACATTTACAACTGTCAGAAATCATCGAAATAAATACAATTTTAAAATATATCAAAATAGAACATTTTTATTTGAAACAATGCTGCCTTGGTGAGCATGAGACTTCTTCTTAAAAAAATTAAAAAATAAAAATAAAAAATAAAAATCTTACCAACCCCTACATTTAAAAGGGGTGTAAATATGATACAAAAAAGATAATTTCATTAATTTAAAGAAGAACACACACACAATTTTGAAGATTGTATATCCATTTTAATAATTGTTCACTTGACTATATATTGAGAACCTATTTATGTCTTCAACATCCCTTATTTAAAACTGCAGTGTTTGCTAAAGTACTGGTCTTATTAAAATTATTTTAGAAATTATTTTGAAACAAGTGCAGCATGCTCAGAGGGATTTTCTTTTTGCAGGTTTTGAGAGATGTTTTGTCTCGATTCTGAAGGAAAGCTGACATACAGTACAGGCCACTCATTTATTCACTTAATGAATTCACTTAATATTCACTTATACAGTACAGGCGATCTCCAAAGTCCCAAGCAACCAGCTTTAGCCTCTTCAAGAGGATATCTGTGAACCCTTTTGAAAATATCTAATTCTATCAAGACATTTACTTGTGGCAGCAGTTAAAGGATAAGAGATTTTTTTTCACTCCGTCAAGTCCTCTCACCATATTCTTCTCAAATCAGATTTTTCCGCAACACTGTTGAAGCAATGAAATAAAAATCTAATTTCCCCAAATGAAATCAACCAAAAACCAATTGGGAGCTGCAGGCTTTCCCTGAGAAATCACATCAGAATAATTCCACATTCCAAACACATATTTAAGTCTGATAGCAATTCATCCATCAATACACCGATTCTGTCTAGCCGCCTCGAACAGATCGTCCACAGGTAATGCATTGTATGCTGTCTCCATAAGAGGAAAATCAATCAAAATTTTAATTCAGATAATACTGTAATACACTGGTCTGTGCAGAGCTGTGTCCCATATATGAAACAATGATGCTTTAAAATATAGAGATCCCCCATTTCTTGCCGCGGGACTGGCGCGAATGAATAACCTTGGTTTGTGCTGCCGAGCTGTTTAAATGAGTTACTTTCCCATTTCGGTTGTCAATGGAGAAGTTTATTACATGTGAGAGGCATAACATGGATCTGGTCCATTGGATATTTGCTATTTAAATGGTGTGCAGATTTCCATCAATCAGCAACGTGACAAAACAGACTGTGCGTGTGCAGTCGGTAAAAGACATTTATAGTTCAAGACCAGCTGCTTTAAAATGTGGATAGTACAAACAAAAAAAATGTACAACTGCCATCTCTGAATGTTTGCAAAAAAAAAAAAAGTTAATTGTAAATCAGATATGCATTAAAATTCCCTCTCACCTATACAGTCAGTGATTCCAGAACTAATCTTTCAGCCAAAGGATATGACTTACAGCGGTGGGGGACAGAATTAAATGAGTTGCAATAAAAAGGTGTTAATATCCTCAATTACTTCAGGGCTGCAAGACCCAATGCTCTGCCTCTGTTTACCGTGGTATTTACCGCATCAGCGCATGCAGCTTTAAGACCAAATGATCCTGATCCTGGCACATTTGCTCGTTTTGACGTCCTCCAGGATTAAATGACTAGTCAAACATATGCCGGTGATTAATGTAATGATTCCCAAGAGTTGTTTAATATGCTTGGCTGGTGTATTTGCTCCCTAACAAGTAAGAGAGCATAATAACCCTTGTTTGCTTTGTTTTTGTTGTTGTTTTTTTGCAGGACTAAAAGTGGACAGGACGTCAATGGGCTGGACTATGATTCTAAAAGATGACTCTGGTGTAACGGGCTGGACATGGCGTGTTGGGAAATACCTGCTGCTCTCTATGTCTCTCATTGGAATGCAAGTGAGGTCGGACCTGGAGTTTCCAAAGGACAGGCACTATACTTGGAAAACGGGTAAGCGTGTCTATGATGTCTATTCCTGTGATATGGAGATTTCTATGTTAGATCTCTTTTTAATGGCTATACTTTGATGTTTCTTCCTCCTGTTAGCATTACACAGCATCCATCCATCCATTCAGGATGTTATCTCACTCGAGCTCCGATGGTTTTTGTCAGGAACTAGCATAAGAAATTCCTCTGTGCCCTTTCAAACATTTCGTCATGCTGCTTTCCTACATCTAATGTTAAATTAGTACCTTGCTGTCTGAGATGCGGTTTTGCAAAATGTTCAAGCTGCTCTTTTCTCAACCCTTACTTATACATTGTCAATAATGTATTTTTTTTGTAATACAAATATGCCATAATTATTCAACCCATATTCAACGCTGCTGTTTTTAAGTCACTTATTTGTATGGAATGGCACAAAATTGTGTTAAAACACTTTGGAAACTATTTTGGAAACAAGTGTATTTATTACATTAGAATGTCTATGACTACAAGAAGATTCCCAAAACACTAAATGTTCCTTGAGACACAGCTGGCAACCTCATTCATAAGTTTTGAAAAAAAAAAAAAAAAAAAAATGCACCAGAGAACCTTTGAGGGTTTTGAATAAAAAGCACAATGTCAAAAAAGGGAATAAAATGTTTGATCAAAGCAACTAAGAAAAACCCTCAATTTACTGCCAAATACCTGATGAAAGGAGGAAAAAAACATTTCAATGCAGAGTATAAGAAGATCACTAGACTGATTTAAATACGCTAAAATAAATTTAAATAGGCCTGTGAAGTTTTGGAAGAATGTTTTATGGAGTAATGTGACCAATTTTTTGGACATATGGATCAGCGGTATTTTTGTGCAAAAAAGTCTTAGTAGCAGAAGAAGACCATCTACATGGTCAAACATGGTGATGGTTCAGTCTTTCTATGGGGTGCTTTGCTACTGCAGGAAGTGGAAATCTTGACTGTATGAAGGACATCATGAATTCTTTATGAAAGTATATGAAAGTATCAAGCCATTTTGGCAAAGACGGTGATGCCTTCAGTGCAGAGACTGAAGCTTGATGGACTTTCCTGCAGAACAGCCATCCCAAAGTATTCATCCAAATCTACTGTAGCTTGGTTCAGGGATCAGTTTTATAATGTTCTTGAGTGGCCTGTACAGTCTTCAGAATGAATTTCATTACACATGTTTGGTGGAATTTGAAGAAAGCAGTGGTAACGTGAAAACCAAAGATTATTAGTGATCTGGAAGCTTTTTCAAGTGAGACTTCTCAGGCAGCGTTTATTAGAGGTTATAAAGTATAAAAAATTTGACCTTTGGGGGTTGAATAACTTTGAACATGATTTTCTTTTTTTTTTTTTTTCAATTCTCATCAACTTTACATTCACAGAACCACTCAAATGTGTATTAATACACTTTCTATAATAGTTAACTGATGCCTTTGTTGAACTGTTTTCATGTATTTTAGTTCTTGGCAGCAAAATGTCAGGTCAAGGTCAAGTGGTTTGAATCATTTTGATTGCAACTATATAAAGACTTAATATGGTCCCTTGAACAATGCTATGTTGTGACCTCAGAACACTTTTACCAAAGTGTATGATTTGTGAACTAATACATTTTGATGTTAACGGCACATAACCAGCTACATACCTATGCCTTTTCTGATATCGTAAACTTGCTCAGTAGCTCACCTAGTACAGCATTGTATTCGTAATGTGAAGTGCTCGAGTACGAGTCCCTTGAAAATGTTCTCACGTTTGCTTTTGTTCACACTGTTTGGTTAGGTTTAGGATAAGTTTTAGTGTAGTCAGTGTGCTATTTTCAAATGCAATTGAGTATTCACCTTTTAGTGCCACACACCAAGTCAAGTAATCTTTATTTATAGAGCTTGTTACAATGCAGATTGTTTCAAACAGCTTTACAGTGATGACAGAAAAATAATGCAACAAAGTTTGTTTCGACTGTAGCCCAGATCTAGCAGAAAAAATGTCCAGCTTAAGTACTGTAGGTTCAGTGTTGATTCACTTCCGTTGTAAAAATCATTAAGCCTTGTTATTAATTTAGTTAATGTATCTACACAGCTGCCCTGGAGAAAACAATGATGTCATCGTCCAGCTCAGTTCAGTTCTCAGACAATGGTGTCATTGCAGGCAGAAACATAATATTGTTGAATGTTAAGACCAGACTTTTCATTTCCAACAACTAACAACATACTCTATAACACTGCCAGATTCACATTCATCCTGTGAACAATTTCATCCCATGTTTGACAAGCAGCGTGGTCATTCTGCTATTTATTTTCCTTTTGTTTTGCACTGACAAAATAAGTTAGACGGGTTTGAGACGACATGAGGGTTAATAAATGATGACAGCATTTTTATTTTTGGATGAAATATCCCTTTAATTGCATTGAATTGAATTGCCGCTCTGTTTTCAAGTTTCTTTCCTCCTGTCCTTTTCCCCCCTGCTGAGAATCCCTCATTCACACAGCTCCCAACATCACAACGACACCTTACGCTAGAATGAAAAACTCTGCCGAGTTTGATCAAGGGGTCCTGTGTGGAAGTGGGTCTGTTCACATAATATATTCTCTGAGAAAGATTTTCCATCTCTCGCTGAACAATGGCAAAGCCCTACTGCAGAGAACATAATCACATATAATGATGTATATAGTAATCTATTCCTAGTCCTCAAAGCTACCTACCATTATGTCTAGCTCAAGATTTATGGTGTTTGCCAAGGCATTCTGAAGTAAAGCAGGATTTTTTACATGTTTTGCTCAGTTTCACAAACAAGAAAATCTGATTCCGACCCTTAATCTCTCTGGTTCTGTCAGAACAGGTCTGATTTTTCCCTCGCTGCAGTGATTGATTCCAGATAGGACTTTTACCCTTGGCGCACATGACTTCTTGCAGCTGTTGACTTCGAAAAATTTGATAAATGAAACGCAAAGACATTTGCATTCCATAAATGATTTAAAACACCCTAGGTGATTCAATTTGAGCCTGATTGTTATCCTAGCTTTGCCTCCAAGAAGCAGACCTGCAGAATGAAGCAAAAAAAAAGCCTTCGGAGTAACAAACGCAGAGCGTTGCTCTCAGATCAGCAGCGAGGAAAATGAAGTAATGAATTTAAACTCACTGCCTCAGATGTTTTCTCTGTCCCTGTGAGTGCGGTTTAAACCTTTTTTGTACACAAAGGCCTCATTGGCTTTTGTGATCAGCGCTTTCATGTGCTTCTCCTCAGTGTGGCGATGGAAAAAGATAAAGAGATTGATGAACTAAACTTGAAAAGGCCCGAATGCAGAAAGAGTCTAATCAGATCATTGCGGGCGAGGCTGTGAAATCTCTGCTGAGCAGTGATGGCTGATATATATCGTTTGGAAAAAAAATCTACTGCTTTCTGGTGCGAGTTGCACCAACAACAGGCATTGTATGTGCATCTGATATGTCTATGGGCATTAAGATCAACATAAAACTTTTATGGAAAGGATTATCATGATTGAGCCAATTAGCGGTGCCTTACAGAGCATGAGAGATGAATTATTAATGACTTGATTATAAAGTCAACTCAGTTCCACTTTGCAGAGTTTGAATTATTAGGTTGTAGTGATGGTTACTCTGTGGGGTACTGGCTTTTATTATTTGGTTGGTGACTGTTTTTTAGCACCATTCTTCAGCTAGTCTGAAAAACATAGCCTTTTTATTGATTCATATGGTTTTACGCTTGATGTAATAGGTGGCCTATGATTCTTCTAGGCATTTAACCACAGGCAAAGCTGAGTTCAACTGTTATAGGTGAAACCTTTTACACAGAGTTAACAGAGCTGCGTGACTCTTCACGTTATGGAGAGCTGAAGTGTGCTTTGGGCTTGACCTTCATCACTGTCTGAGAAACGGGGGGGTTCCCAAGGCTGTGGGTAATGGGACGATCATTTAGATCCTTAAACAAAGCACTCTCATTAGGGCCTGTGAGGAACAATCCCTCCAGCTCCATTTTTCACCAGAGACTGCCTGAAGAGAGGGAGAATGAGATTGTTCAGTGATTTGACTCTATGCAGGGTTTCTGCATGTCATTTAAAATCAAGAAATCTGGTGAAAACGTGAGCATTATTTCACATTGAGCCATCTGAATGGGCTTTTAACAAGCTGCAAATAATTTATTTAACAAGTTAACATTTAACTTTTCAACAATGACTGTTTTCCTCCCAATGCTTCAGGAGACATGAAGATCGTATCAAAAAATAATGGATAAATGAAAATGTAGCATACTTTAAATGGAAATGTAGAATGCGTTATTTTTTTTTTCAATATTAAAATTACTTTTTATGTTTTCAGCTCACATTTCACACTGCTAATGCTTCATTAATTGTTTTTTCTCTCTCTCGTTGAAAGTCCAGATGTTCTATTTTAATGAATGCGCACTTTATGTGGTAATTTCACATTTACATATCTTCAAGACAGTAGAGTCATACCCCTTACCAATGTTTCAAATTAAATACATTTACATTTATGCATTTGGCAGATGCTTTTTTTTCAAAGGTGACTTACATTGCATTCAAAGTATGCATTTTGCAAGTTTATGCTTCCCATGGAATCAAACTCTCTATAAAGGACAAACTTCTTGCATGAGTACAACACCATAAACAGACATAGACATTTTATTATAGACAAAGTATTATGAAATCATTTACTTATAGATTGTTGCTGTCAGATCCAAGCTGACTACTTCTTCTGTCAACAAAATTTCCTTTGCGAACTCTCTATGTGCCTCGTTAAAAAAAAAAAAAAAAAAAAAGTGCTCCAAACAAACATATAATCTGCGCCACCATTAAAATAAACCATCCACTTGTTGGTTCCTTCTGAAGTCTGTACAGAGACACAAATGAGCTGTTTAAACTGTACTCGTCAAAGCACTGTCCTGTTGTTGACCAGGCTCAGGCATGTAGAGTATGTGTGCAATGCTCACATACAGTGTAAGCAAATAACAGCTATTTCAGTTAGTAAATTATG